ACAAGATAACCGTTGCCAGAATCCCAACTACACAACCAGGCAACATGAACTTGCCAGTAGGGTCCCATGCTGCCTAGCCCAGATCATATCAACAGACCCTTAGCAGATCCTAAAACTACAATTGGAACATTTTAGGCCATAATCTTGTAGAATCAACCAGGTATTGTCAGTAGTATAATATCACACTCGGCAAGCTGGTCTTGCCCATTTATATGGGCTAAATATACACCTGCCCATGGTAAGATACTGCCTCGTAGGCTATATTAATTTTACATATGTTTGAGATTGCACTCACATGAAACAGCCTGGTTGAATTTATTGGCCCAGCATCTGCTTGAGCAAGTTGATATCCTGCATTGGGAAACCAGCTCACTCGACTAAAAATCATGTTATAATACACAATTTGGCCCAAATAAGTAAGAAATTGATTAATATAAGCCTTCTGAAGCTGTTGTCATTAACAAATTAACCAGCATTTCACACAAATTTCTTGACAACAGTTGCCAGGTTAGCCTGGCTCCAGTGAGGCAAATGACAAACTAGCCCTGAAAAGAAAATCCAGCCATATTTGCTGAACTAGCATGGCCCATTTTGACAGCCCTTAACAGGGAGAGCTTATTTTTGGAAGGGAGATCTGATTTTTGGAAGGGAGGCCTATTTGTGAGGTTACTGGGAGCTTAATATTGGATTGCATTATTATATAATATGTGTAAAATATTAATTTGTGCACAGGTATTCTGGTAATGCACAAATTTATGGACTAAAATGTTTCAATTATAGCTTCGGGATCTATTGGGACCTGTTTATATAATCTAGGCTATCCAGAACACATGCTTGAAGCCTATCATGTTGCCTGTTTGGGATACAGTGCTTATTGTATTATGGTGAACTTCTTGGCTTACATATAGCCAGGATTCTGGCAATGGAAACCTCACGCTTAGCCAAGCCGATAGTAGCAGGATAGGATAGGACATACTGGCCAATGTCATCTCCCACCTTATGCCACCTAGCGAGGTAATATGAACAGGGCCCAATTGTGACTAGTGAGACAGATGAAGTAAAAACAATGAAGTTCATATATGTCCATAAATTTTAATACCTGAACAGCAACATTGAACAAAATCATTCTGTCCAAATGTCATCCATCTTCCTTAAGTTTAGGACTCTGAGACCAATGAATATATTGCCAATCAAGGATTAAAACCAATAAAGACAAGTGTTATTGTCAAACAAGCGAAAATATTCATGTCCACAGGCTGCAACACGCAATGTTGACACATTATCCTGAAGTCAACAAAATGTGGAAATCGACGAAAAACAAGCCAAGAAACAGTTATTGAGCTAATCAATCAAATAAATACTTGGCATAAGTTTGAAAGTCCTTATAGTCCAAATATTTGATGAGTTTATTTAGCCCATTTAGACCAAAAAAAATTAAAAAAATTTCCTGTATTTAGATATTCGCCATATTGATCGCCACGCTGTTTGGCAAGAAATCGACATGTCAACTTGTCCAGGCCCGGAAATGTCCTGTTTGCTTGTTACACAGGATATTAATAAGTTAATGTGAAAATATGAAGATAAAAGTATCTTTTAAACAATAAAACCTCTCAAACCTCGATTTGAAAGGCTTTTAAAAACGCTAATCCGTTCGGAACCTACAAATTCGAGGGGTGGTATTTAAGCTTGCGCAAGGCAAAGTTTCAAGACGCATATCTTCGCAAGGACGCAATTAATCAAAAATCGCCACGAGGAAGTTGAGGAGAATTCTTTTAAGAACAACATATATGAATTTCATGGCAAAAAATACAAAAATCGCTTGCAGAAAAGCTCTGAAATAACCCCATATCTTTGTTTACAAATTACATGTGATGAAGCGTTTTACGCATTCTGATTGGCTTAGGGCAAAAATGTTAACAAAAGCGCTGATTGGTCGAGAACGAAATTCCCCCTTCCTAGTGCCTACAAATAACTGTTCTCTCTGGTAAAAGAACTTTGATAGAACTCAATGTGAAATTGTACAATAACATTTTGGCTTTTCCAATGACTATTACAGTATTTCAAGTCATAAATGAAAGTCGATATGTGCGTAGTCTTGTATATACAGCGTCTTGCTGTTATTAATACATTAACTTTTTGTAGTGCGTTATAGAACGTAAGTTTGTTGGTTTGCATGCATACTTGTTTAGTTGTCTAACTGTTAATTTGTCATTGTCTGTTGGATATTATTATTGGGTCCTCAGTAATTGGCGTTATGCTGTTGTGGGGACCCTGCCAGAATTTGTAATTTATGTAACGGCAAAGTTATTAAATTAAATTAAATGAAAATTAAATTATCGGCCGATTATTCAAGACAAAAATAACAAATTAAACTGATACCAATACCTAAAGAACACTCCTGTCCTTAAGAAACTCGCGATATTTCCCAATGATTGAAACAAAAACGGACATTGATGCAAACAAAAATGCCCATTAGCCTGCGAGCAGGCTCTCTTGGGGAAAGAGAGCCTGCAAGGATCCCTATGATGATTGCGCGCCTCCCTTCAATTAGGATGTGACAGGTCAATTAATAATAACCAATCTGCGCACACCGGAAATACACTTGTAATTGTATTGTAAACATATTTATTGAACGTTGAACCACAAGTTGAACCCCATTTATTAATATATTTATTCGTTAGTTTCATATAACAGATCGTAAAAAAGTTAAAACTGCTCGAGGCTAGGTTTTACAGTGTAATATATCAAGTTGTAATTTTTATTACAATCTGCATATATGTTTCTGTAGGCACATTAACTTTAAAGTTCTATATTACCCGCTAACTAATTCAGTTGTTTGGAATTGCTTCGTGCTAGAATATATATATATATATATATATAAACAGTTTTGTTTTTCGTTATAGATAAAAGAGTGCTCAATACTACAAATTATTTAGCAGAGCGAATTAATTTATTATCTTAAAATGTTTCAATTTCTCGCCTTGTTTCAATTTCTCGCATTTCTCGAAATGTTTCAATTTCTTGTTTCAATTGAAACATTTTAAGATAACAAATTATATATATATATATATATATATATATATATATATATATATATATATATATATATATATATATATATATATATATATATATATATGTGTGTGTGTGCATTGTAAAACAAGCTTAATATGCAATGAATATTATCAGAATAATTCTCAATATTGTTTCATAAAAGAGAAGCGATATATTGCCTTGCCGACCTTAGGTTTCGGTTTGCGAATTTGTTCAATCTTTCTCAAGAATTATTCTTAGCCTAGGAGTCAGACAAGCCCAGGACTCAAGAATGCATGCAAACTTTTAGTATTCATCTTTATATGAATACTATATTAATTTACTGTCAAAAGTCAACAAGGATACAAAATACTTTTATCTCTAAATTCCTGCATTTCCGAAGCTTTACGTTCCTAGTCGGTTGTACAAACGGGAAGTGTAGTTTATGGCAGCTTGTCAATCACTTAATTTGAATCAATTATCAACCAATCAGAGCTCTGCGTCCACGTGTTGGATGCATGCACGTAAACGTTATAAGGATCAGTGCAGGCTCTTTTTCCCATAGAGAGCCTGCTCGCAGGCTAGATGCCCATTCAACTATTTGGCAACTTTCGTTAGTGGCAAGAGACGAGTTAGTCTAAACATCCAATTTTTATATAATCTTAACCTATACTGTAGGCAAATCTTAAATTGTTAAATATATTATTGGTATAAATTTTGTAAATATTATCTTATAATATTGTAAATGCAATCTTGTAACTATATTTTTAATATTCTGCGTGAATAGTATGTGTTTGACTTTACCCATACATGTAAAATCAAGTTTTTTATGTTGTTATTTGTAAACAGCATACAGGTTGATTATGATTAAACTCTAATGGAAAATACGAGTGTATGGTTATGCAAGGCGGTGGAGTATATTAATATTCAAATTCATATTTTGGTATATAGGTTGGTTTATATTCGATTATTTTCATTAATAAAATGCATTTTGAATACACACATTGGAATTTTATGGATTCTGGAAAGAAATATAGTTATTAGAATATTAACAAGGTGAAGACGGCTCTTCGTTTACTAAACAAACTATTCTCCTCTGCTCTGCTCCTGTGATCAATCGAGTTATTGAACACTTGAACTCTTACGCTTTTTCGTGCTCTCCCAACACCCCGCGTACTCGATAACTCGGTTGAGCACGCTTAATCATGAAAAAAACGACCATTTTGTCGGAATTTTATTAGACACATTAAGAAGGGATATCTAGTTAATCCCCCAACCAACCGCGCGATGCACCGTTTCTGTCGTAAGCCTGTGTGCGGGTAACAAATCCGGTCGACCATTCACATGGGAAATGGAAAGCATTTGGGAAGTCTAAAGTTCATCAATATTCGCGGGCCCATGGATATATTTCACGGTGTCAGAGACGAACTGAACGATATCTGGTTGCGGGAGGTGGGGGCGTTAACTACACTGAAAATTTACAGAAATTTTGGAAAATGAACTGGCTTTCAAAATAAACTTCGCTATCTAAAAAAAATGACATGAAAAGGAAGTGTTGTTTTAAATCGATGACTAAAACCCCGTAAGTATTGTCAGTTTTTCAAATTGCAGTTAAAGCTGTATCAAAACACTTGTCAATGACATACACATCAGCTACCCTCTGATGCACAAGGGGCAAATATTTCCGCCATTGATAGGGAGCATAGCAAAGGGGTGAGGACTTTGAAAATATTAAACATTAAGCTAGGAGGTGGATCATGATATATTCGGAGTAGAAAATGAGCAATTAACAACAGTTGTAATATATCTTAATAATTACTCCTCTCTTATGTTTTCCAGATATTGTCAACCTCACACCAGCTTCTTGTTCAGCTTTGTTGATAGAAGATCCTTCAACTCGCAGTGGAATGTATTACTTCAATCTCCAAGGACTAAGTTCATCGCCATTGGTTCAAGTATACTGTAACATGAGTTCAAGGGATGGCGTTGGTGTGACAGAAATTGGACACGAAAATGAATCGCGATCACTCGTGGTCGGATATGAAGAACCAGGTTCTTACAAATGGAGCATCAAATATGTTATTTCTATGGAACATATTATTGCAATTATGAATCTGTCCAAGAATTGTGAGCAGTTTATAAAATATGAATGTCGTGGAAGCTCCATTCGACACGGCGGAAGTCATTATGGTTGGTGGGTATCGCGTCAAGGTTCGAAGATGAATTACTGGGGTGGAGCCGCAGTTAATAGCAGTGGATGTGCATGTGGAATGACCGACACCTGCGCTGGTGGGCGAAAATGTAATTGTAACGTCAATGACAAAACATGGCGTGAGGATAGTGGGTACCTGACAGACAAGAATACGCTTCCTGTTACTGAGCTGAGATTTGGTGATACAGGTCACGAAGGAGAGAAAGGATATCATACACTGGGAAAACTGCGATGTTGGGGTTAGGATGAAGGAGAGGACATTGAAGTATAGCGCATATTCTGAACGTTATTTAACAATTATCACCGAAGGCAAGGTGATTACAGGTGACAAATGAAAATTTAGTATAAAATCAGTATTGAAAAATAATAATATACCTGTATACAAACGTTGTAAATATAATTTGCTTCACTCTTTCGCTTTTGAGTTAAATGAATCCAGCTGTCGGAACAGTGTCGGCCGATTTTTTTATTTTCCGATTTAAATTGCCAAATAAATTGTTTTAGGCATCTGAAAGCTGCTTTCGTTTGTCGGAAATAGGTTAACACCATATATTGTTGCTTCCTTTGCTTTTAGAGGAATAGTGTGCTTTAATTTCTTCAATTTTTTATTTAATTATTTGTTTGCATGTGGATTTTCGGCACTCATCTTGTTTTGAAAGCAATACTTATCGCCCAAGCAGTCTGATCAGTAACTATTGCCTCAGAGTTACTGGTGATCAAGCGAATCAGAAGGTTTGGATGTCATTTTTCAATACTGAATTTATACTAATGCGTAGCAACATATATGATGATTAACATAGAATGTAGCCTTGCATGCTCACAGAAATTAGTCAGAAAAAATCAAACAAAAAATTAGAACTTCATGACGTGGAAAGTAATTATTAGTGATCATATGTACGCCGTGGGTGGTTACTCACTTAGAAATATTTCTTGTATTCTTGGTGGTATTTTCAACAAGTTGTTCTTGTATTAGGGATCATGAGAATGAAGATATCTTGAAAAATCATTTAGGGAAATGTTTGTCTATTTGTTATTTCTTTACTAGATATCTTTGTTCGTCTACGATAATGCTAAAGACGTTGCAAAATAATCAAATTATGTCGAAAGGGTTATATTAGAAGCATTTAAAAAATTACGTGACTGGTGTTTCATTCTTCAAAATATTACTTTATCAGTATTAATTATGCTATTAAATCATACGCGCCCGCATTACTTACCTTGTTGAGGATTGTGCAGCGCTTCATATATCAACCTCGTCCCCAGAGCCTTCGTGCTGAGAGGTGCGTGCTGAGCCTTGGCATCGTTATTTTACATCCCAAATTTTTGGGTGTGAATAAATTAAGACCACTTAATTTCAATGCGCGAAATTGATTTGTTCTTCAAAATTTGCTATACTTGCTGCTCCAAGACAAGTTAAATTTTAATATATTTTTAATCTTCGAGAAATAGGCTATCTGAAAATGTTTAAATCAAATTTATGCAATCAGAAATTTAGAAGTTAATTGTTTACAACATGACAACAACATTACAAATCTTATGTAAGCACATCCAATTTTTGTTGTAGGGACTTTGTTTACAGATCTTTCGAAAGAAAATCTTCTAAGGATTTCAAACGGTAGAAGCTAGAAATACCGCCTGCCCAAAAACTACACATTCTGAGTTCCGCCTACCGCATGGTCCCGCCCATCTTACAGTAATGTATTTATTTTAATTATTTGTCAAACTCACGTATTTACACCAGAGCAAATACACGACTTCGACGTTTCATATCTTCGGTTCATTCAATGCTATGAAGACAAAAATACCACGTTCGATTCAGTGTAACAATATGTCCTCATTCATAGCGATAGTTTTAGTCGATGTCAACATTATAGCGATTTATGAGCTTTGAAAGTCAAGCGAGTTCGTGTATTATCAAATTACGCAATTGTTTGAACAAAAATATAGACTAGCCATACCTTTTGCCGAACACAACTTCGGCCCCTTCAGACGTAACTTTGTAATAGGCTTGTTCCAATCGCTATCAAAAACACGACTTAGAGTGTCATTTACGAGCCTGTATCTTCAAATCTGCACTTTTATCACGGTATCACATCTTCAAGCAACAAATGTTGGATTGATATTCGTTGTTCATTCTTCAAGACGAAGCGATTTCCGATTCCAGATAAAGATTAAAGAATTCAACGCTTAATTCTCAATTAATACATTCGTTATCTTTTGGTTAGTGTATGCCATCACTCGATATATCGGTACAATTACGAAAATAACAATAGCTTATATTATAAATACGGCAAGTCGGCAACAGTAACTTCTAAAATTAGCACTAATTATTCTAATTCTGTACTCCTGTCAATCAAAAATTCAAAATCAACATTCTGGCCAATCAGATACCGCCTGCTACGCAGGCTACCAATCAGAATGCTCCGGCACCCAGCTGCCGGGGAGAACTCAGAATGTGTAGTTTTTGGGCAGGCGGTATTTCAAGCTTGCCATTCTCTCGTGCCCGCGAATACCGCCTGCTATGCAGGCTACAAAAATATCTAATATATGTGTCTCGTGTTAAGATAGAAAATAATTTTTAAATGAACAAAAGTGAATGGACTTTGCACGTCAGTCGTGACATATTAAATATTTAGTTTAGAATGTAAACATGTTTGATTGAAGTATATTGGTTGAATAGTTTAAAAATTATCTAAAGTTTAGTACTGTACGTTGCGCTATACATGCATGCTGTCCAGGGGCGAAACTTGAGGGGGGGCTCAAAGTAAATCATCTGGATTGGCAGGGCAAATCATCTGGATTGGCAGGGCAATACACCCTTTTCATAAATGGCTGCCGATTAAAAATTCTTTTATGTGCATATAAATTGACCCAACTAGCCTCGTTTCTGGGTAGAAATTCCTTTGAAATCATAACATGAGTACGAATCTAGTTGGGCCGATTTATATGCACATAAAAGAATTTTTAATCGGCAGCCATTTATGAAAAGGGTGTATGAAAGATTTTAAATGATAAAATGTAGAGTTATTAAGTAGCTTCCAGGGCTTCCAGAGGGAATTGAATAGAATTTATAGACCTAAATTTTACAGATATTGGTAAAAAATAAGGGTTTCATGCATGTTTTAACAGGAATTTGTGGGAAAAAAGTTTTTGAGACTTAATTTAAACGGTTTATGTTCGGTAAAATTTTTCCCCCCTCTTTTGAGTCTCCGGAAAAATATATTTGACATCCCCCCCCCCCCCGCTTGCCAACATTTTTGGGAGAGATAGTGACCAAAAAAAAATTTTTGCTGCAGAGCATCATCGGCTTTCGCAGGGCAATTCTAGCAGACAACCCCTAATTAAAAGGGGCTAGTTTCGCCCCT